AAGCATGTTCCCCTTCCCCAGCTTTAACTGCTTATTACTTGTTTACTTTTCCGCCATATATTATATAACTGTACAGGTTTATCTGGAGTCTGGTCCTAGCCTCGTCACTACCTCGTCGGGGTTATGCCAGACACTTACCAGCACATGGGGCCGGTTGTGCTGATACTACGCTCTGTGCTCTTTTGTACAGATCCAAGTTTTGGACAGCAGCAGTAGCGCGGGAGCCAACCTTCAGTCCAGTGAGACACTAAGGTAGCCTTGCAGGTGTTCGCAGGCCTGACGTCTCCTCTATCTTTTATTTCCGTCTGTTATCTCATATATTCGAGACAAACAGTTTATATTTTCTTTCAAACAGTTGCATTTAGCACTCTTAAAAGTTTGTGAGTAATGTGACACCAGTTCTTGGGTAGAGGCATATGCTGATTCTCGCATTATTGTTCAGTTTTCTTTAAATTTAAGTCTTCCGCATATTTATTTAATTCCGTCGCTTTCATGCTATCGCCGATAATTGTTAAAAGAAGTAATTGTTAACGATGTAAGCAGTAAAGGATTGGCTTGCCTAGCTCTCATTAGTAGGCGTCATCACGACTCTCGAGGGTGGAAAATCCGGGTCGTGACACATTAGGTGGTGAAAAGCACTTTTAAGTGCTAAAGCTGATTTAAAAAATAAGCAGTTATGTGTTTGGCTAAAATCGCTGAAATTAATAATAAGCAATTGAAGAATTGGGCATACGAAGAGTTTTGTTTTAACAAGAAGTATTTTAGGGATAGAATAGTAAATATTTTGGTCAAACCTAAAGTGCTTATAGGCTGAAATTTGATAAGTTGGGGAAGACCAACTTATGACTTTTGACTTATTTTTGGCTTATAAGCACTTAACTTATAAGCACTTTTAATTTTACCAAACTCGTAGATAAGCCAAAAGTTGCTTATAAGCCAGTTTGACGAGTTTATAAGCTTAGCCAAATACCCTTTAAGTAAGAAATTATTATTTGGATATAATATCGTTCGCTTTTTTACCTTTTATTTGTTGATTTCACACTGGACTAAATTGTTATTTAGGTTATTTTTCTAATATTTAGAAATTTAAAATCCTAATATTTAGGAGTTTGAAATTTTAAAATTAGGTTGATCATTAATGCTTTCTATATTTTAACTAAGTAAAAACTACTAATATATAGCAACTCAATCTATCTATATAAATATATAAAAGAGGGACTTAACAAGATGATGTGACACCTCCCATAGTGTAGGAATCCTATTTATATTTTCCTCAATTTTTTGACTTTTTTCTTTCATTAATTATTTATCTTATTTTAAAATCCACACCCATAATTCACACCGAGTTGTGACTTTCAACTCCATAACCCTCAATTATTTAATGAGTTATAAATTACATTTATTGACAGACTTTTTGAACAATTACATCTATTTTGTTTAGATTTTAACTCACATATGGGAATGGGAGAGGGCAAATGAGCGTTGCCACTCTTGGAAACTAGGCTTCTTATTTATCTTTTTTTCTTAGACTTTTTCCCTGCTAAAAAGGTAATTTACTTTAATGTTCACTTACGGTAACCATTGCAACCTTTCAAATTTTTTATTTATGGAGAAAAACTACTCAGGTAATCATTCATGCCTAATACTACCGTTGCAACCTTTCAATATGACTTTATTTAAGGACGAAAAACCTACAGATCCTTATGCTTTCTCAGCCTTCCCGCTGTGTGAATCATTCATCTTTAGCAACATACATTACTCATGTGTTACAGAGATTAGGTGACAGTCACAAATTCTAGGAAATAGTTTTAAGACATTGTCATTTCAAGGCTGCTTTCCGCATTCTGAAATCTCTCCATCACTATTACTTCCTTTTCGATCTGTAAGTTCTTTTTTTATTCATAACATGTAAATTTTATGTTCATTCATACGGAAAAGTAAAATCATGAGCAAACACTGGATATTCGCATCACATCGCCAGAAGGAAGGAAGGCAGATTATTAAGCTTTCCGCTTTTGCTTAAGAATTATAAGAAGGGAAAGAAGCAAAGAGAAGAAAGAAATGGAATGAAAAAAAAAATAAGGAGAAAAGAAATGGGGAAACGAAGGAAAAAATCAAGAAAAGGAAAGAAAATGAAAAGTTGAAGGAGATTGCAAATTTCATTCATTCACTGCCGATATGGCCGATATTGGATTCTTTTTTTTTTTTTTAATTTAATTTTTACTTTTCAGAATTCGATAAAATGAACTATGATATCATGGTGATAAGAAGAAAATAATTTAAATGCCAATCAAAGCACACACGGAAAGGTGCAAAAGAAGAATGAAAAGAAGAGAATATATTCCGTTAGAGAAAGATGGACGTGCAGTAGAATATCACCAGATGACTTGAGAAGACAAACATTTATTCCTCCAAATCAAGTTTGTCATAAGTTCTTACTCCAAAAGAATAACTAAACTACTTTTAGCGTTAAATCAATTATTATTGTTTTCCGTAGCCTTCAATGAACGAAAAGCTAAACATGTATAACTATTGTAAATTGGAGGATTCAACCGCATTTTTACATTTTATTATTAGTTATTAATTAAGTTCACCTCTACACACTATGAACTACGCTCAACAATTGGAGCAGACGACATAATTTACAATNATATATATATATATTATATTAACCGCGCAAAGCACGGATAAAATAACTAGTATATATATAAATTCCTAGCCCAATATTTTGAACTTTATAAATATTTCTAAAATATCCTACTTACCAAGTTGCCCCATTTTTACCAACCACTCGATTTTCTTTTCCTTTGCTAATTCCATAATGCTTATGAATGTTCTTTATAATGTTTGGTAATGAAAAGTTAGTATACTCCATAATTTTAGTGATGTAAAGGTTAAATCTCAAGGTCTTTAAAAGTATATCCTTCCCAAACCCATGAAAGAAAATAGTGAATAAGAAGATTTGTTGAAAAAGATAATTAACTAACATAACTCTTAAGTTACATTATAATTTTATTACCATTAATAATTTGGAACTTATAGTAAAAAAATTTAGAGTTTAAACAACAGATAAAGAGACGTGATCGACAAGAGTCAATAACACTAATAATTCTGTAAATATGATGATCCAAAGTAAAATATTAGATAGATATTTTACCCTTTAAAAATAATTTTTTATTGGATAAAATTATAACTATAGTTGAAAATGTAAAATTCTAGACGATTTCATACTAAAATATGAATTAAAATAAACGATTTTTTTAAATAAATACTTGAGTTTTTAGAACTAATAGCAAAATAAATTCATTTCACTTCTTTTAAAACTATTCATATACGAAAAATTATTTCTCAAGTTGATAAAACTCATATGGTACATAAATTTATTTTTATAAGAAAAATATTGGTGAAAAGAGAAATTAGAGATAGAGCAAACTTGAAGTGACAAGGATAAAATATTAGAAGACAAAACGTATTCTAAATGAGTTGCAATTTTTCATCATTCATTATAAAGAATGGTAACTCCCTATATTTTTTATACATTACTTCTTGTAAAATATTAACTCAACATTGGCGTAGGCAAACGAGAAAAAAATAATAATAAGGCATTTGAGAACTTATGTGATGACAGATTACTTTTTCTAATTTGTATTTTACAACTCAAACGTATTATATAGTATATATAAGAAAGATAGAGAGAGATTGTCTCAAAATCGTATATTCAAGAATATATTATACACGCGCAAAGCGCGTACCCTAAAACTAGTATATTCTAAAAACACCAAGCTGCATAACAAAAGGAATTTCTTAAGAAGAAATAAAAATAACTTAAATAGACTACTAATTTTCCCACACTTAAAAATGCTTTATCCTCCCGGATGAGATTGTCCCGTGAGGAAGAAACATATTTTATTCCTTCATCACCTTCTCCTTCTCCTTTTATCACAGGGCACCCATTTTTCATCAGAATCATAACTAGTATCTCCATCCACTATCACACCCTTTCCTTTTTCTTTCCCTTCCACAATGGTTTTTGCTCTCTTTTATTGGAGGATTTTCCTCTTGTAATTTTAATGCACCTGTGAAGGATGAATAGATTTCAGTAAAATCAACCACAAGAGCTGGTAAATTACTGAAAAAATTACTACTATGATTTGATATTGGATCCGATAGAATATGTGTCAATGGTTGTGGTGGTGGGCTATCAGGTAGCTACTGGCCTGGTGTCTGAATGTCATTAGGAATATAGAATCTCGGAATTGGAGTGGTGGCTGGATCTGCCCAGTAAATAGGCGGATAATTCATCATTCTTGTGAAGCCCCATATTTCAGCCATCTGGCATTGCATATTTGAGAGATTACATATCATGGATAAGTTCTAAATGGTTTTTTACATCAATATATGCTCCACTCTCTGAAATCCCCGATAAATTCATCCTTCCAAATTCGTAAATCTATGCTCCATATTATTAAATCTCAAATTCTTCCTTGCAAATTATTTGGTTAATTGCCCAATTTGGTGTCCGTCATCTCCTTTATGTTGGCTTCTAGCCTCTGACAATGGTTCTTTCCCTCTTGTTCCTTCTACTATCTTCATTCTATTCATTTGGAATACTTATACATAATCATTCTTGGGCTAAGATGGACACAATTAACTTTACAAAGTAAAGTTATGGTAGCTGGGTACCATAAACTTCTTGATTATAATTATTTCTATCCATATTCAGAGGCATTTTCATGCTAATAGCAAAGAGCAATGCTACTCTTGGTGTATAGATATCATATTGATGTGAGTTTGGGACTAACCTATTACCAATAAAGCTCAAGATTATCTTAGCACAGTAGCCAATATTCTTGCGAAGAAGTTTATTGTTGTGAGTTTGGGAGTAACCTACTGCCAACAAAGCTCAAGATTGGCCTAGCACAGTAGCCAATATTCTTGCGAAGAAGTTTACTTTTTTGCCTTTCGGAATTATATGCACAATTAGCTCCTCTTGGACATAAATTTGACTCCACCAAATTCAGTTTGGGGTTTCTTGAAAATGCATTATTTTTCTCTGTCATCAACTTCTTCAAGAAAATGAAGACCATTAATAGCTTCAACCAAAAAAATTACTAGGTCTTCCTCTCACCATAGAAATATTTGTGATTGAGTTGATGTTTTGGTAAAACTCCAAGACTAGGTCAAGACAAATATCATCAGGTGGGTATGAAAATTCTTCCGTCGGATAATCTTGGATGAGTTGAGCTATAAACTAATCTCAAATTCCATCTTCTTCATTAAAATGAATCCTGTTTATCAGGAATTGATCTTCAGTTTGAGTTCCTTTGGAACCAATTCTCGTCACCTCTTCTGGGAGGAATTTTGGTGGTATGAAAAGAAGAAGTGAGCTAAGGAAGAAAATAAACTGAAAATAGAATTTTTGTGTGGCTTAAACTAAGAAGATGAGTTACTTTTGTTCCTTGCCTAAAAGGGTGGACCCCTACTTTTATTTAAAGAAAAAAGGCAATCACTAAAGATCTTGAGAAGTACTGATGCATCGAGCCTTTTGCTAAATGCATCTTGAATTTTTCTTTATTTCTTTATTCTTTTCTTTTAAAGAAATTATTAGTTGTACTATATTGTGTTTGATGCCTTCAAAAAATATATCTTGAACCATTTTTGTGATATTCTTTGGTTAAGTCAAATCACGAGAATTGAGGAGCACAAGTGCATTAGACTCTGTGTAATTTCCAAAGCTTAGTATTGTTTCTATAACGACTCGATCGGTCGTTTTATGAGTTTCAACCCCGTTTCCCCCATTTATGCTTTTTTATATCTTGTTCAGCTGTATTATGTGGTATCAGATTGGTTGGTTCGGGTTCAGAGTGGTTTTGGAGAGGTATGAGACACTTAGTCTCTTTTGAGTAAGCTTATGTTGGAAAAGTCAACCGGATGTTGACTTATGTGAAAAGGCCTCGAATGTAAATTTTGGTGGTTCGGCTAGCTTCGTTAGGTGATTTGAGACTTAGGAGCGTGATCAGAATGTATTTTGGAGGTCCATGGAAGATTTAGGCTTGAATTGGCGAAATTGAAAATTTGGCATTTTCCGGTTGGCAGTGAAAATTTTGATATCGGAGTCGGAATGGAATTCCAGAAATTGGAGTAGGCCCATTGTGTAATTTGTGACGTGTGTGCAAAATTTCAGGTCATTTGGATGAGGTTTGATAGTTTTTTGCGTCATTTGCGAAATTTGAAAGTTTGGAAATCCTTAGACTTGAATCCGAGAGTGATTTGATGTTTTGATGTTGTTTTGAGTGTTCTGAAGGTTAAAACAAGTTTGAATGATGTTATGGGATGTGTTGGCATATTTGGTTAAGGTCCTAAGGTCCTCGGGTGAGTTTCGGGTGGTTAATGGATCATTTTGGACTTTGGAAATGTAGCAGATTTTATGGTATTTTGTTGTAGAGATTTGTTCTTTGCGTTCGCGAGAGGGATCTCGCGTTCGCAAAGGGACATGGAGTAAGGCAGGTGAGAAGCTCTTCACATTCATGATGTTGGTCCCGTATTCGCGAAGGGTGAGGCAGAGTGTGCATCGCGAAAGCATGAGTGGAGTCGCGTTCGCGAAAAGGAGTGAGGCAGTTGGGGACCCCAGGTCATTGGTCTTCGCGTTCATGAGGTAAGGGCCACGTTCACGAAGGTCTGAGCTGGCGAAGCATCACGTTCGCGTGGCAGAGTTTGCGTTCGCGAAGAGTAAAGCAGAGAGGCTGTATGGTTTGGTCTACGCGAACGCGAGAGGGCGGTCGCGCAGAAGGGCACACCTGGGCAGAATCTTTAAGTTAAAAAAAGAGGGTTTAGTTCATAATTTCAAAAACCAATTAGAGAGCTTGGGAGAAGGCGAATTTAGAGAGGATTTTCAAAGGAGTAATTGGGGTAAATATTCTTCACTTGTTTTGGGTTAAATTACATAATTATGTCTTGATTCTTATCATTTAATTTGAGAATTTAGAGTTAAAATTGGGAAAAATGGAAGAAAAATTGGAGAATATATTTTTGGAATTTGGATGACCTTTTGACGTCGTATTTTGATGAATTTGATATGGGTAGACTCGTGAATGAGTGAGTTTTCCAATTTTGTGATTTTTATTAGATTTTGAGATGTGGACCCGGGGGTCGGGTTTGGCCAATTTCGGGATTTTTGAGTTAATTTGATAATTTTCGTATGAGTTTCATTCCTTTAGCGTATATTGATGACAATATACTGATTTTTGTTAGATTCGAGGAATTTGGAGGCCGAATCGAGAGGCAAGGGCGTCGCAGGCTAGAGTTTGGCTTGATTTGAGGTAAGTAACGCTTTCAAACTTGGTTCTGAANGAGACGTGGGCCCAGGGGTCGAGTTTTGGGAATTTCAGGATTTGTGTCATATTTTGATTATTTTCGCTTGAGCTTCATTCCCTTAGCATATTTTGATGTCCTCGTTCTGATTTTGGATAGATTCGACGCGAGTGGAGGCCGATTCGAGGGGCAAAGGCGTCGCGAGTTAGAGATTTGACCGGTTCGAGGTGAATAATGATAGTAAATGATATTTTGAGTGTAAGCACGTGATTTTTGACCCTCCCCGAGGATTTTCACATTTTTTTTAGCATAAATATGAAATTGGGTCTAATATAGCCATTTTAACTATTTTACTTTATTTCGTTGCAAAAAGAAAAAAAATCACAATATATATATATATAAATTTTAGTTTATGTATTTCTCATAAACTTGAAAAATACAAAAATTATACTT